TTTGCCTCATCCGACCTTCTGTGGCTGATGGACTCTAGTCGTGGCGACTCTGCGCTTTCAGAATAGAGGAAAAAGCAAAGCATCTGCTCAATGACATCAGCGAAAATATCCTGTTTTGCGTTGGAGGCCGCTTATTTTTTTCTGCGCTACGGGACCATTCAGCGTTCCCACTTTTATTCCTCACGGTAACCGGTTTGCCATACCCTCAAGGACCTCACTGGGTCTCATAGCTCACACTGAAGAATTGAACCATGCACAGCTAATAAAAAGTTTAATAACCAAGGGAATATGTCGAACACTAGCAGAGCCGTTCAACGACAATGACCCTTATTATACCTTCTGACCGATTTTGACACAGTCGCTTCGACGATTACTTGACTAATTAACATCCTTGCGAAAGAAAGATGGGCCGTTCCGAGCACACCAGCCGCACCAACTGCCTTACAGTTTCATGCTGTAAAGTTTCACGCCGATAAGAATGCCAGTGATTCGATCCAGAAAATGTGAGCATCTGCGTCTCAGGCGTTCCCGTGCTCTCTCGTTTCATCGGTGTCAGCCCTCTCTGCGGCATCCAGCTTCTTTGCCACAGGCTCGTACAATACCCAAACTTGACAGCAAGGACTCTACTATCATGACATTATTCGACCGCCTCTTTTGATTTTCACTTCAACAGCGGACCCCACAGCATCGAAAGCTCCTTCTTGAACCCCACCGCCCACACTGCGCAATTGTGCAATGAGACTATAAGTCGCACCTACTTGTTTTCGAAGATAGTTCCACCTCCGAACCGATCAGTGCTTCAAGAAAACAACTATAAAAAGGAACTCATAAACAGCTACTTTCATTTCACTTCTCGAGCTAGAACCGGTAAGGATCGCACTTCTGATTGTTCCACTGACATTGCCTGATCTAAGTCTAGCTATTTCAGCCGGGTTGGATGGGTGAGGGTGATGAAGGCGGAGCCGACAAGGCCGATGCGGCAAAAGGACCTAAAGAGAAGGAAAAATCTGTGATGGCTCAGCCGAAGGAATCAGATGAGAAACCAAAAGGGACAGCACCGGATGATGGAAAAGCAAAACCCACCTGTGAAGGGCACCGAAACGAACCTGCGAAAGCTGATCAAAGCCCCGCCGTGCTCAACAAAAACCCGTATGTTTTTTTTGAGCGCTATGGCGATAGCAAACTTGAGAGCCAGCTCGAAGTATGATTTACAGTTCTCTCTACTATGTCATCTTGTATCTCATTTTTACCTGTATAGATCTTTGTCACTGCTTGTTTGAATCTTGTATTAGGTTTATTGGCCCAGTTTTTCCACAGGAATTTAGGGTGGCCCGCGTTGAATGCATGACTAGACTGAGTTAGCAAGCATCTTACTCATGTACTATTGGATAAAGCGTGCAGGGGAACACTCAACAAGCCTACAGCCCCTCCTTAAAGTGCGGGAGCAAGTCTTTGCAGTATGGACTCCGAACGTCGTTGAATATTCCTCCAATTAAGCACTGACCACTCAAAGATAATCGATAATTATTTAGCAACCTGTTTCCTTCCATCGTTTCCCCCCCCCCTTTGAATACCACAGGCCCAACAACTTTACCGGGCTGACAGGTTCCTGCGGAACATGTTACTTGGGGGTGGTTACAAGGCTTCTGTCAACTAAAGGATGAGAGCGTAGCTGGAAAAGCACACACTTTGGTTTTTGGGACTAAGCCTTTTGAAGAAGGTAAAGAAGGAGGAGATGCTATGATAGTGAATTTGTGAGAGCTCCCAGACATCACTACAAAACGCTGAACAGCCAAGGCTCACGGTTGACAGATGTCCTGAGATTCTGGGGTACCAATTCAGCGAGGGCAAATGTATAATGACAGAAGGGCTCGTTTATGTCTAGAATTCAAGAATCCGTAAAAAAAGTGGAACAATTCTTGACTGGTACTCCGATTCCCCGAATGCACCTGAGCATACTAATCGATAAAAGTCTCCCAAATCACTTAACCTCGCCTTCAGAAGACCAGATAAAGTTTGTGCCAATATGCAGAAATTGAGTGATTACGTGGCATCGATTCCAAGAACATCTTTAGGTAGTGATTGATTTTCATCGAGAATTTAGCAGTGGTGACGTGGATTTCTGGCTGACGAAACAGAGGTACGTGGTGCGCTAAGGGTCTAAACGCAAAAACAAGGCGAGTTAGTATACCCAAGTGTGCGACACCAGCTAGGAGTTCTTGCTCCGAGAGAACGATGAGAGACGTAGTTGATTGGAACGATTGATTGTGCAAGTTCACGCTAGGGCAGAAGTTAGGAGGACGGAAAGAACGCTATGGAAAACGAAACTGAAGATGCCACTTGAAGTCATGTCAACATGCTCAGACCTGAAGTGAGGCTACATTTAAACAAATCCACAGTCAACAAGGTGTCCTCATACAAGTTTTGGCAATTGAGGTTACCCTCGAACGGAAGAACAGTGTTGCCTGGAGTGTATCAAAACTAATAAGAATCATAAGCGGTTCTGGAAGCAGCCTTCAGTGCATTAGAGAGAGTACATTTCAGTGATCCCAAAGAGAAACAACGAATTGTGGTTTTCAAAGTGACACCCGAGAGGAAACCAGTATGGAGTGAGATTAAAATACAAAATCCTAGCAACGACCAGAAGACATTTAAGGTCTGTTAGCCATGCCACATGATTTTAGATTCAGAGGTAAAAACCCTATCTACAAATAAGTAAAACAAACACAAGTCACACCTTGGTCTAACTCAACTCTCCAGTCGAATTTTGCAGGAAATCCTTCCACCCCCCCCCTTCAAACTAGTAATATTTAAATACAACCTCACCATTGCACTTCAATGCACTTAGACATTCCTTCTAGTACTCCAGACAACTCACTAGTTAGCTCATGATTGCAGAACATTAGCTTGATCAAAAAATTCCCCGCCCGATCACTTTGCGAATAATATTTCGAAAACAATCAAGCCTGGAGCTCAAAGATATGCGCTCAGTCGCCTTGTCGACTCCTTCCCCTAAAAATACGGGAACTGAGACTTGAAGTAGTGATCGAGTGCCCCTCCCATTTTAATCGTTATTTCAATTGCTTCCCTTAAAAACTGCCGGAGATGGTCAAGCACCCAATAGTTCCCTTAGGTACCCCACAGCCAAATCCAGCCCTGTCCAAGTACTACCCCCTTGGCCGCCTTTAGACCTCCCACACGAAAAAAGTTCCAGTCGTAGGCCAAAGTGGGAGAGGTACTCGACCTTTCTTCACGTCCCATCTCCTACAGTTCTGTGCAGAGGGGGGGGAACGACAAATTGTCGAAGCCGTAACGTAGATTGGTACATGGTGACAGTAAATACTTATGATTTCCAGGCAAATTGATTAATGAAAGAATACTTACAAGAAGGTTTGCGGCAAGGAACTTTTCGACCTATCTAATCACTTCATTATATAAACCAGAACTTTGGTGTGTCGGTTTGTCGGTGTGTGTGTGTGTGTGTGTCGTTCTGTCCGTCCGGACCAACCGCTCACAAAACCAGGGAGTACGAAGGGCAACACTTCGTGATGTTGATGTCATGATCATGATAACACCCACAGCGGCTATATAAACACCGATCGAGCACACTCAGTCTCATTCTACATGGTGCTGCCGTGGCAGCCGGAGGGGGGTAAAGGGGAGGGAAGCAGGAAGGGGGAGGGGGA